GGAAAGGTCAGGGAAGAGTTGGATAAATGCCATTTCATTAGCGGGAGAGAGCCTTGCCTGCAGGATCGATTACTAAATGATGGAGAAAAAACGCAAAGACAGAGAGGTAGAAGCAGGAGGCAGATAGGATTATACGTACACACCTTAGTGATGATGAAGGCTTTAAATAAAAAGACAAGCTTTAATACAAGCTGGAGGAGATAGAGAAGCTTGAAGGTCATGGTTGGAGCAGACATTAAGATCTGCCCGAGGAGCCATTAGCCAACTAAATCAAATAAAAGATACACTGATAGAGCTTTGCATGAATTGAAAAAAACAGTGTAAGTGTATTTCATATTCATCATTCCAAAGTACTTCGAGAGATTTTGTAAAGAAAATATAAAAGCAGATTGAAAAAGAGATTCAGAGGCAAGCCTTTCAGTAAGAATTTAACTGAATTGACATTTCTACCAGAGCAATTAACTCAAAATGTTACGTAAAAAAAAAAACTCAATCGTACACATTTGACTGGAAAATACTAAAGTTGTGTTTTAAATTAAATATGGAACACAAAATAAATAGAAAGCTATACTTTACTGAAATTAAATGATCCAACAGGACCTTGGTTAAAGAAGAGATTTAGATTGTGTTTGATGGGAATCGACAAATACCTTTTTAAGTACTTCAGATGGTATTTTCAGAAGCCGTCGACAAAATCAAGCTTTAAAACGGTTTAATCTTGTTTACTATAACTTTAAAAATGTATACTTTAATATACATGTTGTCTAAAGTCAGATTGAACTGAAGAGAACGGTGTATATTTTATTGACCCGAGGATCGATACACTAATTAACTGAGGTTCCCACACGATGAATGTCCCATGTGAAAATGTATTTTAGGTTATTTACGCACATTAGGTTTCTACGCTAATTCCCCCAGTGGATAACTATTCTTAAAGGGTTCATTTTAACTTTGTTTAGTAAGGCAAAGCTCCAAAGGCAATTAAAACACATCCAAGTTCATGTAGTGAAGTGAATATTTCTATATATAGTACACTAAAAACTAACATGTGTGCCAAAGATAACGAGGAAGAAAAATAAATAATAAGAAAGAAGCAAGAAAAACGTTTTTCATGGATTTAATTACTTAATCGTTATTGAATATTCATTGTGTGTGTGTGTGTGTGTGTGTGTGTGTGTCTTGTAATGGCATCCTCAACACATAAGTATTATACGTCACTGTGTAATAACGTAAGGCAGCTCTCAAACCTAATTTCCAGGACCTAACTGCTCTGACTCAGCTGTGTGTGTGTGTGTGTGTGTGTGTGTGTGTGTGTGTGTGTGTGTGTGTGTGTGTGTGTGTCTCTCACCGAGCTCTGATGTAGCGATCTCTGGGATGGAGATCCTCAGCATTGTGCCACTGCTTAGTTCCTAGAGAAAGAGTTTGTCAAAAAATTATATTTAAAAATGTTCAGTTAAATTGAATATGTGCATTTTGCATACTACTTTACATTCTACACGTTTACAAATGTACACTTGTCATAGCAGGAAAAGCACAGCGTTAACAATGTCTCTGTTATTACCAAATAAGTCAATTCAGTGAGACATATACAAGTCATCATTCACCCATTCACATTTCCTAATACCGAAACATATTCCTGTCGCGCTTCTTTAAATAAATCACCATAATTGTCCATGATCTAGAAAAACAAACTGAATAATATTAAAAAATTCCAAATGTTGACATTATCAAAGTTTTTAATTATTTTTAATCGGTGTGCTATTGAGGAAACACACATTAGAAGATCTTGTTACTTTAACGTTACATTTTCTCCAGCACGGTTGTCCTGTCCATTTCATCTCAGTTTAGAAAGAAACCCTGAGGAGAGAATTAACCATCGACCTGACAGCATACTGAGAGCAGCGGGTGCTTAGAAAACTCCAGCGAGCTGCATTAACAAACATTAGCCTTCAGATTGACACATCAAGAGGTCAAAGGAGGAAATCAATGAACAGAAACAATATGTCAAAAACACAGCAGCATGCAAAGGCTGTTCTGCACAGGGTGGTTTATTTTGAAGTGAGTGTGAGAGAGACAGCGTTGTTGTTGTTGCTGTATTCTGTAAAGTCTGTGGGCTAAACAGGCTGTCTATACCAAGTCTGACAGGACTGAGCCAGGAGGCAGGAACACACACACATCAACAACTCTCATTCACAAATATCAATTGACCTGAACCTCACACGAAAGACTGACTAGAAATAAAGCCTTGAGGAAAACTGTCACATGCTTGTTTTCTTTGAGTGAGCTTACAAGTACTATTTGAATACAACCAACTTGTATAATACAATTTACAGGGACAGAAGTTACCATTTAGAATGAACCATAGTTATAGAGTATGTCTATTTTTATATTTTCTGCAGTATGTACCAAAACACCAGCTTCTTCACACTGCATTAGTCAAAGTCAACTTTAATGTACATGTTGTGTGTTTGTACCGACAGAGATCGAAATAACGTTTCCAACAATCCCAAATACAAATACAATAATACAAATATGTATAAATATGTTTATAAAACGGACAAGTCAAATCAAGCAATCTGATTGGTTCTTAGCTGTGATATAATGAGCGTATATCACGGGTAGAATCGTAGTTACTTTTCACAAGTCATGTATCCCTCGTCTGAGAAAAGCTACAACCGTTACAACTGTTACATTACGTCCATCACGAAACTAACTAACTAACTAACAAAGCTTAAGATGGAAACATTTAAGGTTAACTTCGCTTCGCATCGGGCCGAACCACGCCCCTTAACTATGATATAATGACCATATACAACGGCCTGTCGTAAGCTATTGCTTAAATAACCTCTATATATACAATCAACAGACATATTTACACATATTCACACATTAAGATAAAACACAAACAGCGTTTGCTGTTTACTTTACTCGACATCCTCACTCTGGATTCGGAGGTCCTCCTTAGCTATTAGCTTCACGTTAGCATGTTGTCTTTGCAGGTGCTTGTTGAGGTTTGACGTTGTGTTTGCAGCAGTGGATAAAAGCTTCTGGCCTGGACACAGTTTGCACCTCACCGTCACATTCCTGTCCTTTCTTCGGACGAACTAAAAATAATGGGCAGACCTCCACCCCTCGAAAGTTATCGCTGTTGACTCTCTCACTGTTTATGCACTGCATGTGGATGCTCGCGCAAATGTTGCGTAAATATAAACCTGCGGCGGAAATCCCTCTTGTCTGTCAAAGGGAGAATCTAGTCATTCTTTATGTTAATAGGCTAACTGTAGTCTGTGATTACTGATTGTATAAAAGTAACAAACTAAGGCGTGTCGGGCAATGTTACTAACTGTAGTGTGATTACTGAATTATAAAACGCGTTACATTACTCCGTTACCGACAAAAGTAATATTATTACACCCAACTCTGCATAAGGGTTAAGGGAAAAGGTGATCTCGAACACTATAATGGTGTCCAAATGAATTATATACACAAACTCACCAAAGTGACCCGGTTGCAGACGGGGTCCCGCAGCGCATGGATGTAGGGCGTGGTATGTTGGAAATTGTAATCATCCAAAAATGAACCTTCGAGGTGTTTAATGTTTGGACCCCTCAGCTCAGACACTGGTGACGGCATGATGCCCTGAAAACAAATAAGTGAAGAGGAAGTAGAGAAAAATGGAAACAGAAGGAAATAACAGAAGGAATAGATCATAAACAAAAAGGACATTGGTGTAGCGATACAGTTTGTACGGTATAATTTGTTTTGATATTATCTTTGAATATTTCAAGCAGAAAAATTGAATAATGATATAACAGGAAAACAAATCAGGCCACCATGCTGACTGTGACAGATTGCCTTGCTCTGTGGAAATTGTTTATGAGAAGGTACAAGATTGAATTGCAATTAAGTATGTTACCTATAAAAATGAAATAATACAAAAAGAATCAAATAATTTAAGCTACCTAGGCTTAAAGATCACCTGAAATGAGTAATTGCTTTTCTATGGAAAAGATAACGTATATTTTGAAAAGGAAAAATGAAACCTTTGATAAGGTTTGGGGCTCGTTTTCTCAACTGTTAGTGAATGTTAATGTGTCAAACATGCTAAGAAATAACAATGGGAATCCATGAGAGCCATCTGGTTGATAGGACAAGTAAAGTACAATTGTATTTGTTTTGAAATTATGTCTTGGTCTTTTTTTATCCTCTGGAGCAGAGAGAGGACCTGTGGATTATTGTTATTGATATCGTACAGTAACAAAGTATTTGTACATTAAAAAGTAATACAGTACAGTGTTACACTGTATTACTTTTTATGGCGTGCGGTTAAAAAATGAATTTGAAACTTGGGGGGGGGGGACACAAACGGGCAGACAGCAGAGCTTGGGGCAATAATGCAGATTTGTTTGACTTTTTTACACTTTGTTGTTCTCCTCCTTTCCTCCACTCTTATCTCTGAGTGTGAGTGTGAGTGTGAGTGTGAGTGTGAGTGTGAGTGTGAGTGTGTGTGTGTGTGTGTGTGGGGAGCGGAGCCCCGGCCTTCAGAAACAGAGCGGAGGGAGAATGTGAATACGCAAAGCAGTGGACACTGAGGTGCTGCTCACACGGGAACGTTTGCGTTTATGCACAGTATGCGTTTTCAAAAAAGTCTTCCGTTCACACGTATTCGTTTCATTTGACGTGTCTGTTCACACGAGAACGCTGGAAACACTGTAGTACATATGCCGGGACTGTAAGTGGCGCTGTACTTCCACACGAGACCGCTCGAAAGCGCTGGACACTAATATCTGTATCATGGTCAGTAGCGTCTGGAGCACAGCAGCAACCCTGTGATGCGCCATTGTTGTTGTTGTTGTTGGCGAAACGCATCAGCAATGAAGGTGGGGGGAGGCGGGGAGAGGTGGGGGGCGGGCTATCGTTATTTTTTCAGGAAATGAGCGTATACAGAGGGCGAGTTAGCACGCCGAGGCCGTTTGGACCCCCGCAGAGCGTTTAGATTTCGGCAAATCTATCACCTTGGGAGCCCGTTATCGTTTGTGGGGTCCGTTTTTATCGTTTTGTTAGCGGCTCAGTGTAAATGAAAAGGGCTATACGCAAGAGAAACGATCGGATCCAACCCGTTTTGTTCCCGGTGTAAACGGGGTGCTGAAACATGCACATAGATCGGATAAATAGACATAGGCGTTTAAAGGTTTATTTAATAAAAGAGCCCACATGTTCATGTGACCAAAGCTGACCGTAGATAGATAGCTTCAGTTGCATTTGGTGCTAATTTTTTTTTTAAATAAAACACCTTGAATTCAGGGCGGGCAGCGAGGCTGCCGTGGCAGGGCGCAGCCGCCCCCGCAACAGAAACAATGGTAGGGGAAACACTGCATGGCGTGTCNCTGGGACAGGAATAAGCCAGAGACCAACCTTTTACGGGATGAAGTTGAAAAACAACATCAGTGAATTTCAATTTATTTGATAACATCACATTGAAGTTCTATCAAATAAATTGAAATTCACTGATGTTGTTTTTCAACTTCATCCCGTAAAAGGTTGGTCTCTGGCTTATTCCTGTCCCAGCTGGACTACGGTGATACCATTTATAGATTTGCCTGTCCCACTGTTTTGGCCAAACTTGACCCACTCTACCATGCTGCACTGCGTTATATATCAAATGCACCCTATAGGACTCATCATGCAAACTGCCTAACTGGATGGTCCTCACTTAGTATGCTTAGGATGCAGCATTGGTTTTTATTAATGTATAAAGCCATTTTAGGTAAGCTTCCACTGTACATATGTGCCAGATTTGCTCCAGTTTGTGACTCTTACAACCTCAGATCCAGTGCCTGGATACGGTTCCAGGTTCCTGCTGTGCGGACTGAGGCTGGGAAAAAGGAGACTTTTTTATCATGGTCCTTAATCTTGGAATGACCTTCAATCACGCCTCAAACTGAGGGCAATTGTCTCAATAGCATGTTTTAAGTTGAAGTTGTCTGAGGTCCTTACCACCAGCTGCTCTTGCAGTAATAAGTAGTGTACCTTTCTTACTGTCCTAATGTGCAGAATGTAGTGACTGCTTTTTCGTCTTTTGTTTTCTTAGTTATGTTCTCTGTATTTTATATGTTTGTGTTATGTGTAACGTTGCTGCCTTCTTGGCCAAGTCAGCATTGCAAATGAGATTTTATCTCAATGCTTTTTATATGGTTAAATAAAGGTTAAATAAAATAAAAAAAATATGACATAAAGCCTTTGAATCTTGAATCTTTGAAACTAAGTCAAGTTTAATTGTATCTCTTTTGATCACAGTTACTTTCCCTAAGGGCTTCATAAGAGGTATATACTAAAACACACAATCAATACATTTAGCTAAAAATAATTGGGTGAAAACTGCAAGAGTTAACATATTTGTAAAAAATATGAAGTTGAAAAATGCAGATAATATTATATAACAAATGCAATGACTGAACTGAAACAGTTTTTTGAGACCTGTATGACGATGATTTGAAAACCACCTACTGTATCTTTACTAGATCACATAAAGTTTGGGTTCATTAAAAAGTTTATTGCATGCAAGTGTTTTGTAGGTGTATTATCTTACAGTAGAGGCGTGCATTAGGAATTCATATTCGTCCCTGTCCTCAGCCATCACCTCCTCTAACAGACGGGCAGATGATGGACAGCCCTCTGGCTTGTTCTTCTTCAACATGAACCTGATGGATCAGATGTTTGTTTAGGTTAATAAAGTTAAAAAGTAGTGATTTAAAACATAATGATTGCAAAAAACGTACATAACAAGATTCAAAAGTTGGATGTATCTAACAGGTGTTTTAAGTCTGTGATCTTTAGTGCTGATGAGAGTTTACCGTTGCTTGAGCTTGGAGGGCTTCTCCTGGGTATAATCTTTGTGGTTATTGAATTCGTCTCTCTCAGGTCCATTGGGTCCATTGTGACCGTTAGAAGACTTCATCAGGACCTCAAAGTCTGACACAGTTTCAAAGTCTTCCAGATCCTGCAGAAACAGACAGTGAACACACCACACACATTTCCATTATTTACCCAACCCTACTGTTTGCTCTTCAAGAAATAAATGAAAGATAATGCGAAGCGGCTGAATAAAAACAATTTCAACTCCTTGACATTGCAAATGAGTGTGTGTTACACACAAAGTACTTTATCCGTCAATCAGTGTTTATATTTCTGTGTATGCATGAACACTGTACATGTCAGTGTGTTTTAGGTCCTGTTACCTTCTTTGGTGTGAAGAGGCTGTCGTTAGCTGAGGATCTAGGAAAGGATTCTGCACACTCTATGGGCATGCTCAATCTGTACAAGGTGATGTCAGTGTAACTGTTCTGTGAGCCAAATGACCTCTGGGTGACCTTTAGGCAAGGACACGACTCCCCTGTCCCATCTATCCTCGTCACCTGAAACAGAAGGACGAATCAAAAAGAGTGAGTTCTCCCAATGGTGTCCACTTTTCAGCTTGGCTTATTTTTTCGGTAGTTTATGGTACAGTTGTGGGGGGGGGAAATATTCGTCAAAAGTCTGAAACCATGACCCTAAAAGTTCTACCAAAAACTTTAAGCAGATTTGATCAGAAGCTATTTAGTTCTGAGTGTGCACTGCAGGTGTCCCCCACCCCTCACCTCTATGTGTTGGTGGTTGGGGGGCACAGGTACAAACTGAGGCATCCTCTTGCTGAGCCACATGGTGACGTCCCGGTTCATGTTGACAGCAAACGGCTCGTAGCCTTCCTGCAGGCCGCAGATGGTGAAGTACTTCAGAGAGCTGACGTCTTTACCGAAATTCATTCTTCCCACCTGACATACACCCAGACTGCACACTGGGATAAAACCTGGAGATAAAGAGAAGATATTAATCACTAACATGAAGCCCTTTGTGCATTACTATCAAACACTATCAATAAAGGATGCTTAGAAAGAACCATTTGCAACTAAACATACAGTTGATCAATTGAGAAATTAAAGCAATATTTTCTGTTTTCATTCAGTAAAAGGTCAAGTGTGACATGACTCTTGTTTCGAAAGGGTTAACAACAGTCGGAGAAAAGCAAGATTTAAACTGCTCAATAGTTTGATGGTGGTCCTTGTTGTGAGTCAGGGCTACAAGTTATTCAATTGTCAAAATTGTGTGTGACGGTCTATAATGCAGCACTGACCTTCACCAACTTCAAAGTCCTTGAAGGCCAGCTCTGATCCGGAGTCATCCAGTAGCACTTCTCCATTGTGTGTGAACATCATGGTGTGTTCGTTCAGATCCACCATGCAGCCCATCACATCCCCCGTCTGCCAGGCGCGCCCAAAGTGCTCGTTACCCTGGTGCCAGCGCTGGACCTAAGAGAAAAAGAAAACCTTCCCCATTAATACCTATTTGGACAATATTTTAAAATAGGAAAATGTATTCAGTGCAGTGCCAGAAACTCCAGAAAAGTCCAGTTACCTTAAAGCCATCAAATACAAAGGCCTGGTCATCAGACCCCAGCTCCTGGTCCGGGAGGCACCCTGGCCTGGCCCAGCCCACCCTCATCTCTCCTGCTGTTAATACCTGCAGGAGAATCAGGAAACGGGTATGTTTCAGGACCAGTCAAAGAGTTGTGGAGACATTTGACACTAAACATGGTTGGTTTAGTGAGTAGATCACAGTCTGAACAGTGTTGTGAAGACTCTTAAGTTAAGAAAAATACTTTGTTACAACCTGAAAGTTCATATCTACAAAGAAATGCTAACATGCCTCTTCTTACCTCCAGCTCAAAGTACCACTTCCCAGAATTGACACAGTAGGTTTTTTCTGCTCTGTAAATGCGTAACCTCTCAGCAGACATGTTGCTGGGGTCAGACTGAGCCGCTGGATAAAAAGAAAGCAGGAACGGAAAGTCAGAAACCTGACGAGGAATAACCTGGGTACCTCATCATCATGGAAACAATACGAATGATCATAATGCGGTTCTTTTGAATAATAAATTAAGTCATTTTCCCACAGAACAAACAAATTATACAAAGAAAATATATTGAAGTTGTTGAATGATAAGTCAGTGAAGGGTCTCACCGTGGTCCTGGTCTGGAGCTTCCAAGTTGTATCCATATCCCAGCAGAGTCCTGACGGCCTCCCTCAGACTGTCTTTGTTGGACTTCTTGGTCCTCTCATCCAGCAGAACGTAGGGCACCAGGCGGGGGTTTCTACGGTTCTTCACATCCTGGAAAGAGTCCCAAGCCAGAAAAATAAAAGTAAACAACCATTTACTTTATAGGAACGCAGTGCAGGGTACAAAAGTGAAACAGCAGTGTTCACCCCTCCCTTAGGACCATTACTGAGCAGTCTATAGGCAACATTCATTAACCCCTTCTGAGAGTTTGCTGGCAATGTCAACTTCATGCTAATCCCATGCAATCCTCGGATAAAAACATGCAGTTTTTGAACAGTTATTTGTGCAATTGTTTGAAACTGAACTTTCTGAAAATGTCGTTGCCTCTAGAATTATCCCAGTTATATGAAACTTTGCATCTGAAAAACTAGAGACCTAGGGCCTGAAAGAGGTATGGCTCTCCTATTTTAAACAATAAAAGTTCCAAACTAAAGTCTTCGCCATCCAATTGCCAAAAAAAGGCAATTCTTGCAAAAATGTTTGGAGGCCAAAATGTTTGGGATACCAAATAACAACTTTAATTTTTCCTTGGTCTTTCTCAAGGTGTTTATATGTTATGTTTTATTTGCAGGGATTTATTAGCAATTGTCTGACAGTTTACAAGTGGTAAACATTCTTAAAATGTAGCACCAAATCCAAACTAAGCGCTCAGTATTAAGATATTGTGTAACCGTCTCTTACCTGTTGGATGCCATAGGTCCAGCCCTGGCGGATGCGATCCCGTGCCCAGACGTTGTGTGCGTTCTCAGCCAGTCTGTCCACCATGGCCTCCTGGGTGGAGGTCAGTTTGACGTGGCTCAGGTCCAGAGGAGCAGGTTTATACCCGCCGGACAACTCATAGCTGCACGGATAGATTAGAATCAAGAAGAATCCCACCTTTGACTTATTGGCATTACTTATTTCTTTATCATACTGATGTTGGGTGACTTACGTTTGTGACAGCTTCATGCTCTTGACTTCCTCTACAGCGTGTTCATCTGCAAGGCCAACATGGCAACCCAAGGCCAGGAGAGTTCTGTAACATAAACAAATAAACATAATTAAACAGGTGATTTAGTGGTCAGGTGTTTAATACTGACACAAGCATGTAACCATTGTGACGACCCCGCCACACCACGTGGGGTGCCGTCAGGTTGTGTGTGTGTGTTTTGTGTGTGATTGCAGGTTCCAGCAGCAGCTGTCTGATGAGGCGCACCTGCCGGATGAGCTACACCTGATGAAACAGGATATAGGAGGAGCCCAGCCGGTTACGTCTGTCTCACTCCTCTGGGCACTCTCTCTGCGCCAGCTTTGGGGACCTGTTGCTGGTGTCCATTTAGTTGTTGTGTTTAAACAAATAAACTAATTATTCTTACCTCTCGTCTCGCCTCCCTGCTTTATGTTACAGCCCACGAGCCGGGTTGTAACACCATCACCATTACGTCTATATACTGCACAGACACTAATAGGTGAGTCAACTACCTGGTCCACAGAACATCATTTGCTAATGTACAGTACAAGTATAAAGTGTTAATGGTGTCACAGGTCAATATTTAAATTCATTGTCATTTAATGTCTGATATATTACTTGAGAGTCTCCAGAGACATCTGTAAGTTGTAGCTGCGTTCTTGTTCAGGAAGCTTTGAGAACTCAACCAGACAGGGGTGTTGCCGCTTGTTATCGTCTCGTACCTGAATCACACGGAAAAGAAAGAGCAACGGTTAGGGCAGAAAGAGAGCCTGCTGTTTGGTACCCCTCTCAGGACACAGAGAACCATGGGACGCCTGGAGGAATGTAGTTATAGAACTGGAGTTACGTCAATAACTCTGTTCTCTAATAGGTTTCACTTCTGAGTGTTTGGGATTTGTAGTTTCTGAATATACTGCCATACAACTGGGCAACAACTGATGACCCTCTTGGGGCTGAGGCTGAGCACTGAAAGAGTCCCAGAGGTGGGTGAAACTGACTGACTGGATGGTTTGAAAAATGACTGCTGAGACCGGGAAACGCTGTAATGACCTTAAAGTAAGCATTCAGCTTCAGCCTGTGAGGGGGGTGTAATTGAACACATGCAGTGGTTGATAATGAAAATAAACGCAACCTCACATGTTCTTTTATCTGTAACAGATTTTTACTTCCTCTTTTTTCCTGCCTGTTTTATTGTCTTTCCTGGCCTTATTAGTTTCACCTACTTCAATTAGTATGTAATCACCTAACCCCCTGTCAGAGGTGGAAGAAGTACTCAGATCTAAAATAAAAGTAGAAGTACCAGAGTGTAGGAATACTCTGTTACAAGTACAATTCCTGCAATCAAATATTACTCAAGTAAAAGTAGCAAAGTATTCTCATCAAAATATAGTTAAAGTAGCGACAGTAAAAGTAGTCATTGTGCAGATTGGTCCATTTCAGAATAATATATATGATATGTTTTATGATTGATCATGAAGGTGTTCTCAAAGCTGGTAAAGGTGCAGCTAGTTTGAATGACTTTGTATACTGCAGGGTAGCTTGTGGATTTACTGCAGGTGGAACTAAAGTCTGATTTAACACTAGTCTCACATCATTAAGACTAGAAAAAAGAAATTGAAATACTCAAGTACAAATCCCTCAAAATTGTGCTTCAGTACAGTACTTGAGTAAATGTACCATACTTAGTTACTCTATTCCTCTGCCCCAGGTATACCTGCACTTTAGTGCCTCATTGATTCAGCTTGTATCTCAGTCCTGCTTTCTGTTAGTCTTGGTCAAATCCTTGTAGTCCTTTGTAAGTGATCATGACGTTCTGTCCTGTTTTGCCATGCCTTGTCTAGATCAAAGTGCCTTGTCTAGAAAGGTATTATCTGTTAAGTGCTCATGTGTTCTGCATTTGGTTCCACCTTGCTCCCTCCACCCCCCACATCAGGACAGGGAGATAAAGTTTCTGTTGACACAGAGTGGTGTAATCTCTGATGTGCAGAGCACAGATGAGTAGCTAATGAGCAGGCTCTTAGTTCTGTCGTCTCATTCAGACCTGAAAGCAGATTTACTGAAAGAGACAGATTTAGCACATGGTGCGATGTTGCTGCTGTGAAAACGCAATGAGCTGCACAGTTGGATAATAAACACAAGAAGACTGATTTTTGTTCTCTTACAGGCTGCATTGAAAGGTTTCTAAAACGTAATTTTCTATTGAGGCTTTAATCTGAATTTATAACATTTAATACATTTTATCTTCAGTTTAATTGTATTTGGTAAAAAATGATGGTCTTTACTTTATACAGTATTCATCCACAATGTTCAGATACACGTTTATAATAAAAGGAGGAAACAGCTGGTGAAATTATAAATGTAGCTGTCAATTTAGTTTCTGATTATTTTGTGAGCACAGGGAACAGGAACAAGGATTTACAGCATATAGACTGATCTGATATGAGTACATGTGTCATCTCCTATGCTCACAGAAAATGATATAAATGAAACAATGAGGTTGAGAATAAACCAATTAGTGGGATTCTTCTATTTACTTATTGAAACCTGAGACCAACATGTGACATTTCCATCAGACAAATATAAAACAGAAATAGGCTTGTAATGAGTGTTTTTTTCAACTGTTGATCTATCTGTCTGATACTCACGGCACCGTACGTCCAACCCAGCTCTATCTTGTTCATCACCCACAGTTCATGGATGTTCTCTGCAAGCTTCTCTCTGATCCGCTCCAAGTGAGGGGGCAGCACAATCTACAAACACACACACACCCTAAATGAAGCAGGATGAAATAGCATCTAATAGTAAGGCAATGATTAACATGCTTTGATTTATTTTAATATTTGATTATAATAATAATAATAATGCATTTTATTTATATAGCGCTTTTCACAACTCAAAGACGCTTATTATGGTGTGAATACCTGGCTGGTGTCCACAGGGGTGGGGGTGAACGCTGCCTGGCTCATGGTGATGGTGGGACCCAGCAAGTCTCTGGCCGCAGTCTGGTCCTGACTGGCCTCCAGCTTCAGCTTCTCCCTGGGCAGCACTGCCTCAAAGCAGGGGGCATAACCCGGAGGAGGGAGGAACTTAAACTCCCCATGACGACCCCCCAGGAGGAAACGCACCCTGCAGTGGACAGATGACAGGAGGAGAGATTAGGGTTAAGAAGAGGGTATGATTTCAACGTTGATAAATTGGTTTAATTTAATTTCCTTAACACCAAAGAAGACATGCTGTACAACCACAAAACCAAGTAAGTTCACTTGAATGAATATTGTATAGACAAGTTTACGCGACAAACCACGGGTAGCGCCATAACCCTACACAAATGCACTTCATTTCCGCCGGAAGTCTTTTGCACAGCGTCTGTCGGTGTAAACCGGTGTAAACAGTCAGACGGGCACTGGTGTAAACACAACGATTTCGATGCTAACAGTGATGCTAGCTTGGGAACACGATTCTACTTCTTTGACTGGAGATGGCGTTACTCTCCCCCACCCGAATTCAGTGCAAAACTGGGAGGATAACATGACGACGTGGCCCAGCATAACGTACAGCAAAATTTGCTCCTACTTCGTTCAATCCATGGCAATAGATGGAAAAGCAATGGACAGTCTGAAGGCATATCATAAGGCTGCGCACATTCTACTTTGCCCACATGCTCCCGAAAATTGTTGACGATTTTGTTGAGGGAAGGTTACAGTTCTGCAGTAAATATCTCAGCATTTTAAAACCAAAATAAACTGCCTTATTTAGGTCATGCCCACAGGAGCCAACAGTTGTCTGTTGTTTACATAATGCACAATTTACATGATCTCTTTATGCTGTGCAATATATCATATGTGCCTGTACTGTTTGAGTGAAAATAAAGTTTGATGTAATTTCATTTCATTATTGCACTGTTATTGCATTATTGCATTTCATATGTTCCTTAGAGTGCTACAATTTCTTTTAACACAGTTCATCATTCATATTAAGCTCATACTGTACATAAATAACACTGTAATTATTAATTGTTGGAAGGAACTAAGAAATGGGGCTTCAACAAGAAAGATCAATGTTTAATCCTAACAGGTATTACAAATTAAATATCAAAGCAGCGCCACACATTATCAGCTATGAAAAATATTCATAATCTAATATTAAAAAAATACAATGCATGCAGTATGTTGTTGTGTTGTATCTGTATTTAAATGACAACCGGCTGGTGTTGGCTGGACAGGGCACGGAGGCAAGATTCGAAACCTCACGAGGCACTCTGTATCAGTGGACCTCTTCAGGGTAGTAACTAGGGCCAGCACAGGATGGGTTAAGATGTGGCTCAGTTTCGGGTGCCATGCTTGATGCGAACAGGTCTGGGGATAAAATCTGTAAAGACCTTCAGGTCTCTTGGGGATGCTCTTATCCACGGTATGCGGACGCATTGGCTACTCGCCTTGGTTGCGTGTCGCTCTCCTCATTGGTCACTGATTGGCCTGTAGGTGAAGCGGGATGGGTTTCAAACTGACCCTTCTCTCATCAGCCAAGTCTCGAATGGTGAACCCACGGTCCGCCATGACCTCCATCACCAGCCCTCAGCTTAGTCTAGAAAAGCCCAGCTGTCCATGGGTTGTAAACTTTCGCTGTTCTGGCCAGCATAGGCCGTCAGCATATAACATATTCGGGCCATTAGGCGGGCCCACAGTGACAGATAGTTCACAGTGTTGCGTGATTTGTTACTGCCTGAAAGTGGTCACTTCCTGAGTTCGTGTTTTTGTGCGCTCTCTGCAATGCCGCACTTTTCGGCACAGGTCAATGTATGCAGGGTGGCTTCGGAGAGGCTTAGTTCCTCTGAAACGACAAGGGCATGGGTTGGGCACGAATGTGTCTCTCTTGGAAGCCCAGTGGGATCAGGCTTTGAACTGTATCACCCATCACGTCAATCCAGCTGACTAATCACATGCTTGCCATTGGATGTTAGAGACACATTGAAGGCGTAGCAAATATCTCCTGAATATTAGGTTTAGTTTTAGCTTCTCAGGATTTGGGTCAACAACCAGAGAGGCGTAATTGGATGGGCT